GCCCATCCATCCACCCACCCATCCATCTATCCACCATCCACGTATCCATCCACCTGCCCACCCGCCCACCTATCCACCTGTCCAACCAGTTGTCCATCCACCCACCTAGCATCCACCCACCCATCCACTCACCCATCCATCTAACCATCCACTCGTCTATCCACCCAACCATCTACCCAGCCATCCATCCATCCACTCACCCACCCACCCACTTACCCAACCATCTCTCCACCCATCCATCCCCCATCCACCCACCCACCCATCATCCATCTGCCCGCCCATCCATCTACCCATCCATCCATCCACCACCCACCCACCCACCCCTCCATCCACCCACCCATCCATCTATCCATCTACCTACCGACCCATCCACCTATCTATCCATCCATCCACTCATCTACCTACCCATCCTCCCACCCACTCAGCCACCCACCTACCCACTCATCTATGAATCTTTCCTTTTTTCCTTCGACGCATCACCCGTCCCATCCGTCCATCCGTCCATCCATCCGTTCATCCATCTATGGGTCACAAACCATTCAGTCCTCACTCAGCCACTCACCCCCCACCTATCCTGTTCACCCATCAGCTCAAACAGTCAACCGCTGGGGAGTTGGAGATTTGACTGTACTTCTTCCAAGATCCCAGTCTGGTGGGGCGGTTAGAGGCAGGTGCAGACCACCCCGCCCCAGCGTGCTGACATCCAGTGTCGGGACAGCCCGGGCTGCAGGGCTCAGGAAGGGCTCGAGGCTCTACCCCGGATGGTGTGGGGAAGGTGGAGGGAGGAGGGTGTCTCAGGAAGGCATGCTTGGTCCTGGGTCGAGCTTGGGCAAAGTCCTAGAGGCTTGGACAACAGAGCGCGCACGTGTGGAGGAGGAAAGGGAGGGAGAGGCACCTGGGCTGCCTGCAAAGCGCTGTGAACTCCGGGGCGCATGTGGGCAAGGGGGAGCCATGCTGGGTCTCTGAGCAGGTGAGGACATCAGTGCCGTACTTCCTTCCCCACGCTGACAGGTCTGGAGGTGACGCCAGGCCCCGGGGCCTACAGCCCAGAGAAGGCACCCCCCATGCGCCATCGGACACCCCCGGCTTTCACCCTGGGCTGCCGCCTCCACCCGAAGCCCCTGGACACCTCGGCCCCTGCCCCTAACGCCTACACCATGCCCCGTCTGTGGGGCTCGCAGATCTTCATCAAGCCCAGCAGCCCCAGCTACACGGCGGCGGGCCGCACACCCCCTGCCCGCCCCCCTCAAGATCCCGCCGAGATACCCGGCCCGGGCCAGTACGACAGCCCCGACCCAAACGCCTACCGCCCGCGCCTGCCTGCCTTCACAATGCTGGGGCGGCCCCGGGCCCCGCGGCCCCCGGAGGACACACCCGGCCCTGGCACCCACTGCCCCGAGCAGGTCACGGTGAACAGGGCCAGGGCACCTGCGTACTCCATGGGCACCCGCCACTCGCCCCGGGCGCGCGCCATGGCCGCTGCCACGCCTGCACGGCTGGCGGGGCTCAGGTTGCCTGGCCGCTACTGCTAGGCCAGGCCTGTTTGGCCAAGGTGAACGGGGAGTGGGCGGCGGGGCTGGGAAAGGCGTCTCCCCTCCCCTCTCCTGAGCTGTCCCAGGTCCTTCTAGGACACCCAATCCTTCCAGTCCCTGTGGGCTGTGACCCGTGGCCCAGTGCAGGGTGCAGGGTGAGTCTCCTGCCAGTGCCCCAGTTTCTTCCGGTCACCCCAGAAGAAAGGCCAGGCCAGGCAGGAAAGAGACACCTTCCGGCCCTCCCCAGCAGCTGGCTGCAGACGAAGCTTCCCATGCCCTAGAAGTCCACGTCCAGCCCCACCAGAGCCTGGGTCCCCGTCTCAGCTTGGGTTGGTGCCACATTCGGGCCCTTCTTGGTCTTGTGGAAACGTGGCCACCGGCCCTGGTCTGGGCCCAAACTCAGGCAGGAGGCAGCTCCAAGGCCCGTGCCTTTCTCCCTCCACCTTCTAGAGTTGCTTACCCAATAAACCTCTCCAGGGACGGAGAGCTGTCAGCATCACACGTGCTGGTTCATTCAATGTGTCCTGAACGCTGCCCTCCAGAGCCAGACCCATAATCTGCCCGTGCCCAGGGGGTCTGAGAGACCGAAAGAGAGACCCAGGGCTAGGGGAGGCCAGAGATGGAGTGAAACTTTGGAGTGGGGAGCCAGGGAGGCTTCCTGGAAGACGGAATATCAAAACTGGGTTTTGAAGGATGTATAGGAGCTCGATGTATTCTAATATCTGCTATCTGTTGCTGCTTGCTGTGTCTTGGATGTTAATAAAAACCAACTATGCTTCATAGCAACTCAGGACCAGGTGGCATTTACTGAGAGAAACGGTGCTGGCAGAGACTGGACCCTAGTCCTGAAACATGCTGTGAGCCCCCACCTCAGTCTGATGTCAGGATTTGAACCCTGGACCTTGGACTCAGTTCCTGCCATTCTCTCCTAGGGACAGGAAGAAACACATGGGTGGCGCCGTGTGACTGAGCCCTCTGTGTGCCAGGGAGGGAGGGCACCTGGGTCACCCTACCAACCTCCCATCCAGCAAGGCCCTCACCCCGCGTTTGGGGGGTCTCCCTGAAGGATGCGGCCCGGGAGGCCTGCAGCGGGCAGAGACGGGGTGGTGGGGCCGCCAAACCCGAACCCCACTTCACCCACTAGGTCAGCGCACGCCAGGACCCCTGCAGCCTGGATCCCCGCCTAAGCCTGGACACGCGCCCGGACACAGCGTCCACCCTGCGCGTAACACACACACAGCGCGCAAGTCCGGCGGCGGCTCCGAGCCCGGCCGAGGGCGCCCACGATCCGCTCCTCCCGCGGCCGCGCGCGCCTCCCTCCCGCCCCTCCCCCGCCTTCCCGGCCCCGCGCGCGGCGCCGGCCGTGATCTCATCCTCTGATTTATCGATCAGGCTCCGGGCGGCCTCGCCCCTCCCTCCCCACCTGCCAGCGCGTCCCGGCCCCTCCCTTTGTTCCCGGCAATGGGTCCAGCGTGGGGCGGGGCGGGGGGGTGCTCCGGCCGAGTCGGGCCAGGAGGCTGCGTCCCGGGGTGACACTGACACCCCGTTTTCTGGCGCAGAGGACCGACCCTTGAGGCCAGGGCAGCCGCGGCACATCTCGGAGACGCCGGAGGCTGGGGACGGAGCAGCCCTTCGGCCTGGGAAGCTGAGGCCCGAGCTGGCGCGCGATGGGCTCCCCAGGAGAGAGGGAGGAAGGGCCGCGCCCCTGCAGCCCGCTCCCCTGGGTTACGGCCGGAGAAACTGAGGCCGGGACAGGCCTCAGAGCAGGACCCCTCACTCCCGGGTCTGACGCTGCGCTGTGCGCCCTTGGCCGCGCCCCTTCCCCGCCCCAGGCTTCAGTTTCCCCACTAGGAAATAGGGAGTGACCCCGAGGTGTCTTCTGGCTGGAACGATGGAGAGCGAGGGGCTGACCGGAGGGCCTGGGGTTCCCTTTCTCCCTGGCCGCACCTCCTCAGGCCTCCGTTTCCCCGCAGTCAAGGGGAAAGAAGGGATGTGATCTGTAAGCCTCTCCAACTCTGTCCTCCTAGGAACCTGGGCGGCGGGCGGGGTCGGGGGGCGCAGCGGGGAGGGTCGCTGCGGGGGTCCCGGGTTCGAAGCCCCGACCCTCCTCGGCTGCCGGCTCCAGGCCAGCGCCCGGTGTCCTCGGAGGGCCTCAGTTTCCCCGGCCTCGCGGCCAGGCGCCGGGACCAGGAGGGCCGGGGTCCCAGGGGCGCAGCCCCCCGCGGCTGCGCGCTGGGCCGGGCGGATGACATCACGGGCCGGGGCGGGCGGGGCGGGCGGAGCGGGCGGGCCTCCTCCGCGGTAGGCGCAGCCCCGGTCGGGCTCCGTCGGGCGGCCGCGGCCATGACGCAGGGTCCGGGCGGGCGCGCGCCCCCAGCGCCCCCGGCACCCCCCGAGCCCGAGGCGCCCACCACCTTCTGCGCGCTGCTGCCCCGGATGCCGCAGTGGAAGTTCGCGGCCCCGGGCGGATTCCTGGGCCGCAGCCCGGCGGCGGCGCGGGCGGCCGGGGCGGCCTCGGGGGGCGCGGACCCCCAGCCGGAGCCGGAGGGCCCGGGGGGCG